GCTTCATGCTCCCTCGTCATCCATGGAGCATAGAGCCGACCGCTTGGCCAATTGGGAAGCCGGGGCGAGTCATTACCCGCCCCCGGCTTCCTGATTGGTTGGAAAGCTAGCTCCCTGGTGATGAGGAGCCAGCTGTGGCTGGCTCCTCATCCCTGGAGCCAGCTTCCCGGCCAATCAAGTTGCGGGACGGTGTGTAATGATTCCTCATACCGGTATTCGAATAGGCATCAGGAGCATTTGGGTGAGTACGAGTACTTACCCAAATACTCAGTATCGGCACCGATACTGGTATCGGTGCATCCCTAGTCTGTGCTTTCAGGAAATGTATAACACTCAGGGGTTTTAAAGTAGTATTAAGGTCTGGGAGTTTTTTATCTTAATGCATTCTCTGCAGTAGGGTAAAAACTGCCCAGAACCTTTTTCTCCCCCAGTCCCCTTCCGTCACCCCCACACCTACCTGTCAGCGACGCTAGTCCTTGCCGCCGATCCCAAAGTGATCCTCCATTCCCTGTACTTTCTGGTTGCAGGGGGAGGATACTGATGGCAGAGGAGCAATAGGCTCCTTCTGCCATCAATCAAAGTGTTGGTCAGAAAGAAGGGACGTGGCCTGTCACAGGGATGTGTGTGTCTATTGACGCACACAGCTACAGCGGGCACGAGCGCGCACGGGTGCCTCCATTAGCCGATGGAGGCACCCATGCAGGGGGCGGGGGGGGAGAGCGCAGCGGGGACCCACTACAAAACGAGGAATTTAAAACTTTTAAAGAAAAAGAACAACATCCTCAGGCAAAGGTGCGCGTCCTAATAGCAACTATTTTTCTTAGAAAGAAGGTTTAATATCGCTTTAAGTAATTTTCAGACCAAAAATGTGAATGGTATTGTGTGCAAAATTGCCTTTGCAGCGGAAGGATTAAAGGATCTGTGAATGCAGGACGCGGCTGTGCCAAACGAGGCATGTTCAGCAGCACCAATTTCAAATAATGACAGGAGCATGCAGGGAGAATAACCCCGAAATTCAGGTAAGTGGGGGTAGTTGGGGGGCATGGAACCATGTTGAATACTGAATATGGGTGTAACATGAAACATGATCTGAAGAGTGGCGTTCTCCTTTAATGATTCATTTATTATGAAAAATAAAGAAATATCAGACTCATTGCTTCCAATGAACCGGAATTTTATTCCATCCATATACATGCATAGTAACAACATTTGTTGAGAAATTCTTTCTATCAGAAGTAGAACTCTTTCTCTGTGATCACCAGTTGCAGTACTGTCACATTTATAGGTACTGTAAATATATATTACATTTGAATTTGATTCATACTTGCAGCATTGTGTTTAGGGTTAAGATTGTAGTTGTATATCTTCAAAAGACAAAACTGGCTGTTTACAGTTCCTATCTTACAATACTGCTTCCGGTAATTTTGTTCATTCATTATAAAGTATTGCATTTAACAGCAAAGATTTTTTTTTCTCCTCTTAAAAATTCAGACAAAGATGCATCAGCAAAGGAAAATACAGTTACTATACAGGAAAAAATGTCCATCTTCATTTAACATACAGGTTTTTTTTTTTTCTTCAGATTGAAAAGTGAACAGGAACAGACTGCTACATACAAATGCAAAGCCTAATGACTAGATCCGTGTGTCTGCTCAAATATAGCTGCAAGGGCGGTATGATGGCAAGGTTTGTATTGATGCATTGCAGCGCTGGGCTCTAGAGTGTGTTATCCTATCCGGTGCATTTTCTGCATGGAGTATGTGGGTTTTTAAGATTCCATAGTGATAGTTTTCAATGACATCAAATGTGATTTGCTCGGGGCTCAAAAGATCTCTGGTCCGTTTTAAAAATCGAATATTTTTGAAAATGAACAGATGGAGGAATCACTAATGTATTAAAGTAACGCTTTTTAATTTTTCTGGCAGTTAGAGAGTAGCCATAATTCAAACCCAGTTCCTCACAACAGCCCTGGACTGGTGACCCATCACATTTGTGAAATAATTGGGATATCTGTCAATGTTCAAGAGCTGGTGCGGGGTCCTTTGTCTCCTTATAATGTTAAAGAAGAACTCTAACCAAAATGTTTCATAAGCCTTACAGTGGGGCTACCCCATGCATTGCAATAGTTAAGTGCTTGTTATGGTCTAGGTGCAAAAATGACTAAGTTATACTCACCTGAACCTCAGATCAGACTGGCTGTGATGGCCTGCCTCCTCCTCCACTGCAACGATGGAAGGTCCTCAGGTCCTATAAACTGTGTATTGGATGTGAGGACTCACAGGACCTTAGACTGCTGGTGCAGAGGGGTAAAGAGGCTGGAAGGACCGATCTAAGAACTAGGCGGCTAAAAGGATGGGGTGGACTTTTTTTAATTTTAGAACCTAGGTGAAAACAAGCACTTAACCCTTGCAGTGCGGAGGTAGCCCCACTGCAAGGGTTATGAAACGTTTTACATGAAGTTCTTCTTAAGTATAGACCCCCATTGCCTTCCTTTTCCAATGGTCCACCGAAACACACACACCAGATGAAGATTTCCCAGGCTATATCCTGGATGGCAGATTATCCCCCTGGCATCCAGCGTCTCTGCACATTGCACATACTGTACACTGGCACACAATATAGTGGGTAACAGCTTGGTATGGGAGGTTGTGACTTGAAAGTGCTGTTATCCTTAAACAATATAGTTCTATTAAACCTAACCTTTGAACATGTGCAACGAATATGGGTAGCTTCACTATAAATTGCCAAGGCTGCTTTTACCAGCTTAACTGGCACTGACTTACACCCTCACAGCCTATGTTTATGTGGCCACCCGTCTTCAACACATCATTTTGAGTGCACAATTTTTACAGTAAATACAGCAGAAGATTAAGAATTGCTTTCACAATTGGAGCGTGGATTTTTTTTTCCTTGCCAAAATGCAAGGACAAGGTGGGGGAGTGGCTACACACAGTGCAGCTTAATTTAAAATTTCACCCACGTACCTGACGGTGAGAGACACATATTGTTACAAATTATGTTTTCTTCACAAAAAGGTTGTAGATTCTCCCAATTTATAATGGGGTGAAATGGTAGTTTTAGATACAGGTAGGACATTAGTGCCATTTTTAATATTTTAAAGTGTAACTGTGGCCAAGCTATGAACATTTAAATATTTTTTAAATATTTACATAGTAACTGAGCTGTAAAACAGACCTTCACTGACTTCTGTGGTTGCAGACACTGTGGAGCAATTCATCTTCAAAGTTCTCTGCTGAAGTACTGAAGTTGCTTATGTGTTTCACTCTCTCTCTCCCAGAGTGTTTAAATTACAGATTAAAGGACTGCTGATACTGCTGGGAGGAAGGAGCTGGCTGAGCTAAACTGCTGAGCTACTGATGGGAGGGGGAATAAGGTGAGTTGAGTTATTATTATATTATTATTATATAGGATTTATATAGCACCAACAGTTTGCACAGTGCTTTACAACCAGGAGGAAGGCAGTACAGTTACAATACAATTTCAGTACATTAGGGTTAGGAGGGCCCTGCTTGTAAGAGCTTACAATCTAGTAGGAGGGGCAAGCGATACAAAAGGTGATAATTGAATAGATCAAGTTTTTAAGTATCGCCTAAAGGTGGACAGAGTAGGAGAAAAGCGGACAGATTGGGGTAGGGAGCTCCAGCTGAGTTGCTGTGTCACTGGTGGGAAGGGGGAGCAGGGAGTGCTGTGCTATTGAGAGAAGGACTTAAAGGATGTAAGTACTTCTGCTTGGAACTTTGAGAGTAAATTCTTCCACAGTGCTTGCAGCTACAAATATCAGAGTAGGCTTGTTTTAAATCTCCTTTAAATCCCCATGATAAGAATATTTACATACTTGAATGTTAATAGCCTGGCCAGAGGTTCAGGTTAAAAGCTTTATAAGCTATTAATTGCTAAGCAACATTTAAATGGAAATACATTTATTCATTTTCCATTAATGATTGTGTGTAGAGTGCCATGACCTTCCTAAAGGGGTCATCAGAAATTCTTTTCAAAGGATGGATAACAATATATTCACTATGGCAGGCTTGTTGTATAATGGTTTTAAGGCTAAGTGTACAAAGTTCAGAATGTAGACATTGAGCCTGGTGTTGGGGGTGCCCTTATGGCAGTATTCCGGCCAACCTTTCACCAGGTCTCCAGTGTCAGGCACAGCCTGAATACTTCAGGTCATGTTTGTCTTGAGATTCCGCAGCAAATGCCTACCTAAGCATGCAAATGTATTAGTTACTGCCTACACTGTAAACAGCTGGTTCTGTTGGGTTACAGACCACCTCCTTTCAAAGCTTGCCTGTATTTAGCCTAAAACTGGCTATACGTATTACAATGTAATTGTACAATCGCCTTTATCTTTACCAATAACTGTGTTGTGGGATGGCCTACCTAAACAAAAATCCATTCAACTATTCTCCAGTCCGGTAGATGCTGTTAGTAAATCTAAAAGGGATTGTACAATTAGATTGTAACACGGATGGCTAGTTTATCAGGTGTCAGCTATATTTCAGCAAAGACAGCTACTTGTTCTGCAACAGCGTAGGAAAGGAAATCAGTATACACAAGTGCTTCTGAAGCTATTCCTAACATGTCTTTTTTTTTCTCTGCAATGTTGTGTCTATATTATTTAAAATCTACTATACAGGTGCAAACCATATGTGCTACACAATAACTATACAGTAACATTACAAATGACTTTAATATAAAGTTCTTTAAATAAAAAATAACAGAACCACAGCTACAGTCGCTTCCAACAGCGACCGCTGCCCTGGCAAGTGCCTAGCTGCACATTAACAGCTCAGGAACAGGAGTCGCTGCTGGGCGCTAAAATGTATGAACGATGCTGGTAAAATAAATAATATGAAAAATGGCACCAATAATACACTTTTACGCATAACTGTTATGGAATTACACCTTAAATCTTCAAGTCATTTCAAATGTACGGATATCCTGATTGTCCGGATGTCAATTAAGCAGCATCATCGTTTGTTTTTTTTTCTTTTACTCTGACTGCAGGAAACAAACATACTTCATGTTGTAACAAAACCTCCAGAAGTGATAGTTCACTTGACGTGTTCGGCAGCATGTGACGAGCAGTAAAACTTTTTGTGAGTAATAAAGTTTGAAAGATTGTTAAACTGGATGTCGCACAGGCGGCAATACTTCCCGCTGGCTGCAGCTGCTCCAGATCCGTTCACGTTTTTCGTTAGGCTCGACGCCTGATCCTCAACAGCCGGGGGTGCCGGGGAAACGTTTTCATTAGCTGCTGGAGGTTTGTCGGCTGCCCAGGAGGGCGATTTACATCCGTCTTCTGCTGGAGGATTCTGGGAAAGGTTCTCTTGCTGAGAGTTTACAGCAGGCCGATCCTCCTGCTTAAGTCCACCGTTCACTATTACCATGCCCCGGTTTTTTGGCAATAGCGGGAGCGACTCTTTCTTCAATAAAGAACATCCATTTGAAGGTATCTGACTTTTGGGAGACTCGCTTCCTACATTTGTGCTTTGATCTAAATCCGCGTTGTGTATTACAAGAGACCCAGAAATATAATCACTTGGCTTGATTCCATAATATGGGGAAAGCTGATCGGCGCCTTTTGCTTTTTTTATTGCTCCTGGGTAAAGGCATTGTGAAAAAAAAGCATTTTTGTTTTCCTCTTTTGTGGCGATAAGCTGTGCTGCCTCGCTAAAGACTTTAAGACCTTGAAGAGTCGCTAAGTGGGCAGAAAACAAGTTCCCATTAGGTGAGGACTGTTTTGAGGTCCTGTTCTTTTCACACTTTATAGAGCTCCTTTCGAAGCTGGATTCAGGGCTGGTCCTTTCACTCTCAGAGTTGGGGAAAGCTTTGCTCTCTAGATTTCCTATGTCGCTACGTTGGCTTGCTGTCACGGGACAGAAGTTTTGCTTGTGGGCAAGGTAATTCTCAACTTTATTAAAGCCTATCTTACACACTGTGCACTCGTGATAGTCCAGGAGCCTTTTGGGAGATGAGGCTACTCGATCAGACTGCGCTAAACATTTTTTGCTAAGGTCTATTGGTGCGTCCATCTCCAGGGAGGACATGGTTGAGTGCGAAGTTTCGCATTTCACCACAGGAACACATTTACTAATTGAAAGTGATGTTTCCAAATGCTTTGGAACAACTCCTGGAAAGATATCGCACCTGGGATGATAACAGTCCCCGGGGCCTTCCGTTGGCTCTTGGACAGATGTACAAGGGTTGCCAAGATTAGCTACATGAAGAAAATGCTGTTGAACTAGCTGTGGCCTCTGATCATGCTCAGGAAGGCACATCTCGTACATCTTTCTCCTCTTTCTTGTGCGCATAGTTCTCTGCATGGCAGGCACTTTGTTGGTTGCTGATCTCTTTAACGGAGGGTCATGGCGAGTTGCGCAGTAGTACTGTTTATGAACCATGAATGTTTCCTGCCTACTGAAGGTTATATTACAAGCACTACAGGTGTTTTTGTTTGGGTCGCTGGTGTCGCCATCCAGTTGTGGCACTGTGGCATTTTTAATTTCTACTGCTTTTCCATTCATTTTCTCATCGTGATTACCCGCATTTGGCAATTTTTTAACATCAGTGGCAAAGTCTTTGTCCCTTGGCTTTATGTTTGACCCCAGAAGATCTAGAACATTGCCTGAGTTAATGCAGGAGCCCTGAAGCAGTTGGTTGTCATTTTCGGAAGAATGAAGAGGTGTATTGAGAAGGTTGACAGGATTCTGAGTGTTGGTTGGGCTCACAGCTTCTGGCAACTTCTCAGTTACGCTGGGGAAGTCAGCTGACTTGCTTATGTGCTGCCATCGGCTACTGCAGTAGTGTTTCTTATGTACCAAATAATTGTCCAAGTTGTTAAAAGTTATATTGCACTCAAAGCAAGTGGCTCCCTTTGGCATCAGCGGGCTGTAAATGACAGGGGGGTAGGTATTGCTGCCATGCCGTAGCCGCCGGTGTACCAGTTCGGACATCTTTGCCAGTATTTCTGAAGCTTGAGGAACCACAGTTATGTCATGGGGAAAAGCAAACTGAGATAGAAATGGTGCCATTGGAAAAGAGGGTCCAATAGAGGGCTGTACAGGAGATGAAGCAAGCCTTGGGCTCGATGGCTCCGATTTTATTTTAGTGTATGAAAACACATTTTTATTGCCTGTCTCAACCCTCTGATTGGACAGAAAAGGATGCGGCTTCTTCTCAGTCTTTTCCACTTCACTGTCTGAGCTTGCATCTTTGTTCAGCCCAGTCTTTTGGCTCTGCAGAAGTTCATTTTTATTCAGCAGCTCTGGCGTCTGCTGTGCATTTGCTTCGCTGGCACTGGGAGAGTGTTCGGTGTCAGCTTCTCGTTGCAGTTTACTTCCAGGGACATGAAGCTCCTGGTGTTGTAGGAGTTCCCGCTGAGTTTGAAAGCCAAAATGGCACTGATTGCATCGAAAGGCAGCTTGAGTAAGATGAGAGAACAGGTGTTTGTGGAAGTTAATCACAGATTCTGCCGTATAGTTACACACTGTACATTTCAGGCTGGCCCCGGGAGGAAAGACATCTTCAACTTTAACACCTGCAAAAAGACAGGAATATGTTAATACAGAAATAAATCGTGTTGATCTATCTGCAAACCCAACAAAAAAAAACATTCCAAACCCTTCTGGCTTTCTGAACAACTTGCCATTCTGCTTTTTTCCAAATAAATGAAACAAGGAATTCGGAATGTTAAAGAGCCTAACAAGCAAATTACAGATTGGACAACACAAAAATATGATTAAAGAGGACCTCCCTAATACCTCTATCTGGTCCACACACGCAGGCTTATTCAAAAAGAAATAGCAAATTGCTAACATTTTGTGAACTGCTGCTGCATTCAGCACACTCTTTAGCTAGTCAACGCAAAACTATTTAAACTGTTGCAACATTTTAGGTTAAAAACAGACATTTTTGTTGCATGCCATTGCAAATATATGCAAAGTCACACTGCTAAGGCACCTTTTCAAAGTGTGGTACCTAACTCTAAACTATCTGGAGAGTATGCTGGATATATTTTTTTGTATTGTCCTGTGGATTGTCCTACCTATGTGTACATTTCCAGTGCTAGAATTTAAATGGATCTGAATGTCTGCCATTTTGTTTTGAAGGATTTGGTGCAGACACAAGCTGGGGTTGTTCAGCTACCTTGAGGGAATCTGGGCCTTTGATATGTTGCTGTACCATTAAGGAAGATGGGGCTACCTCTATGCCTGCCTGCTCCTAATGTATTCATTACTATATACAGTATACTGTATGTCTCATAGTTTGCAAATGCATGCAACAGAAATCTCTGTTTTTAACCTAAAATGCTGAAACAGGGTGTTGTGGAATTTTTGTACTCTTATTTTATATCTGCTTGGAGTTCAGCTTTAAAATGTATCACCACAAAAACTTTTTTTAACATAAAGTAAGGAAGGATTAGGACATCCATTGGGTTCATATTGCTACCTGGAGTTCTATTAGGGAGATTTCCCTTCATATGTTGTCAATGTTTAACCAGACAAATCTGCAACGAGAAAAATTCAGCAATAAAAAATTTTTTTTTTATTATTTCTGTCTGTTTTTCCATTCACTTATTGTCTAGTTAAAGCATTGTTACTTTCGTATAGCAAGAGGGGAACATCTCTCTAACATAGGCCTGTGTAGCAGTAAATACCTAACAGAGGTTCTAATCGTTCCGCACTCTAAAACAAAAGTTTTAACTGGACATACACTTGAAGTTTGGATGAGGCTAAGCAGAACTAGAAATGTTCATAAGGACTTAGTAAAAACTATACTTTAATCTTTAAAGCTTATCTCTGGGTAAAAAAAACAAAAAACATACTAATACGAACTACAGCTTCAGTGGGACTCCCACCGCATTGCAAGGGTTAACTGCTCGTTTTTGTCTAGAGGTATGGTGTAAAGCATTTCAATCCGATTCCCGCTCCGCTGGCATTTAATACACACCTCTCTCTTCTATACTCTGGCTCGCTGACTATCCCTCGGCATCCTCACATATAATGCAGGGTTATGGACCATGCATTAGATGTGATGACGTCAGCGGGCCTCCGTCCACCTGAGCGGAGGGGTCCTGGAGCCAGTGGGAACAGGGATTAGGTCATTAAACAGCTGGCTTTTGCAGTACTCAGCAGCCGCCCTGTAAGGGGAGCTAGGCTTTAATATTATCCCTGGGTTGCTGCCACTCCAGTTACCTTTTCCTTTCACAATAATAAAGGATTGTTCTTTTTAAAGAAGACATGTCTGATCTTACCACTATGATTACAGGTTTTAACTGCAATATTGCTGGGTGCCTCAACCACCAGTAACCAACCACCGGCACTCTCAGTGCGGTGGGAGGAAAGGCAGTGAGTTACATGCTTCACAGTTGTTAGTATGTGGTCCGCACATTATAAAGGGCTCCACTTCCTGAATACCCTATTATATAAATATAATACGCACATCACAAAACGTATGTGCTGCAGCAATATTCTTTTATATTTGAATGTTTCATACAACCCACAAAAAGCTATACTCCATGTCACATGTCAGCAAAGGTAGACTACAGCATAGCAGCATGCAGCAGCAGCATGTACATACACCATGACACATGTATAATACAAGAAATAGGAGATAATCTTGGTTAGTAAGTAGACATTGTAAAGTTCAAAACAGGTGTAGATACCTAAATTAGAGATACAAAGACAATGGATGGTGGTGGTGAGTTGCAGAGGACACTACATAGCTACATAGCAAAAAAAATAACCATTACCGTTGTGACATTTTTCTCCTCCAAAATGTTGCCCATTCAAGGCTTTCTCCGTCTTTTTTTTTACCACAGGCATCATGATGCATTTTTGCCGGCTTTATTCATGAGTGTAGTATAACCCCCTACCCCCAAAGGCATGTGAGGGAGACAGGATGGGCTAGCTTTTCACCTCAAGGGTGAGTCCTTGGCTGGTTGAATACAAGTTGGGCATCATTGACTTTACGGTGTTTGCAGACTCCAAATTCCATATCTGTTTCCAACTATACAGTACGGAGGGCCTTTAAGCCTGGACTGGCATCACTATATATAGCAAAATATCAGCTGTCTAGCAGACTTCTCTGTGAATCCTCCCAAGAGAGTTAACAGGCCCATGCAAGGATCCAGCTCCTACCCAGCCTCACCATTCAGTAGAGGCACTCGCACTAGCATCTCAGGTCAGCCTCCCCTCTTCTGGTAGGACAGCTTCAGGTCACATGCTCATCTTTCCTAGGCCGCAGGCCTAGCTAGACTATAGTCATCAGCACATCCTCCCCTAGGCAGGAGCCCAGGGGGAAGACATGCTTACAAGGTTAGCCCCAAATATTTGTATGCTTCCCAGTATGTACCACTGGCAATAAACCTCCTAGTGGTTGGCCAGGAAAACAAATATTCATAGCTCAGCATTGTTGGATCTTCTTGCTCGGTTGCCAGGGTCACATCTCAGCAAGAGGCAATAGCAAACAATAACATTGGGCTTAGGAAAAAGCAAATGAGTACAGCACTAACAATTTGATCTGGCTGTTTACAGCCTAGCAGAGCTAAATTCATGCAGTCACCCCACTTAGGGCACAGGGGCTACTTTTCAATGTAACTTTGTACTTTGTGCATCTTTTCCTCATTTTGTATTATACATATGCCAGGGTCTCTGTACATGCTTTTGATGTATGCAAATATGATGTATTTTGCCTCTGCTGACGTGTGACATGGGTTATAACTCTTTCTTTTATATTGGATTTCCCAATATAAAATAATATCTCTGCAGTACATACTGTTTTGTGGAATACTTATACTTGTAGACATGTGCGTTAGTGGGTTATATACTCCTCATAATTGGAAGTACCAGGTATGTCTCTTCACTCCCTGCTACCAAACAGGAGAGGTGGAGAAGAGAAGGGAAGGTAAGTAAGTGCAACTAAGTGCAAAGCACAAGCTCCTCTACAAATAACGATCCCCTTTCCCCAGTTTGGACAAAACCCCTTCATTTGAGAAAAGAGTATCTTATAGAATTATTTTTCTTTACATAGAGAATAGCGATTCAACAGACTTACCACTGTGGGAGTTTAGGTGCACTTCTAGTGCTCTGGCATTAGAAAAGCTTTTGGTGCATTGCGGGTAAGGGCAGATACTGGACATCTGTGGCGTGCTTTCCTCACTGTCCTCTGGAAGCTGGGCTGTATCCCTCTGGCGACCACTGCAATAATACATGAGATGGGCCTGCAAGTTGCGTTCGCTCCTGTACCAAATTCCACAAGATTTGCAGGGGAAAATGTCTTCTGCAAAGAAGGCAGAAAAAGCAACACATTAGTGAAGCTTAAAGCTGAACTCCAGGCAAACAACTGCCAAGAGTTTTATCACTTTGTTCAGCCAGTCTTGTGATCCAAGATTCACTACCAGAAAGCAGAGGCAGGTCCTGAACCTCTCTGCAAATTACACTACAGTTAAGCAATACAGACTGGTCTAGGACCCATTCCAGCCTCTAATTGGACAATGAAGGAGCAGCAGCACACTGATGAGGTAATGCCTGTACTCTTTCCTTTGTAAGAATGTGCATAACCCTGATTGGCTCCTGGTGCTTTCTTGCAGTCTTAGAGTGCTGTACAGGGGATGTACAGGGTAATGGCTCTGTGTATAAATCCACCAAATAATTTTTATTGAGTACATAACTGGATTCAATGCTTTTTTTTATATCTGCCTGGAGTTCAGATTTAAAGGACAATTACATCAAAAAAAATAATTTATGAACCCACACTAGAAAATGAGCTATTTAAAGAAACCTGCAGTAACGTTAAGGCTCCTAGACTATCACATGAATGCAATAGGACGCACATTGAGATTCTTGTATGCAAGGTCAGCTGTATGCTAGAGCACCCAAAACCCAGAGTGCTCTTTTTTCCAAATACGAGCTATAGCTGTTTTGGCCTATCGCTGTTATACTTGTGATCTGGAACCAGTATGCAAATAAAGAGTGTGACTTCTCCAACAGCAGGCTTGGTCCACATCAATGGATCAGAAAGTACTGTAGTCACTGGCTCAACAAACAACAAGGCAACTAACATTTTCAACAGCCTCCATATTTTCCTTTAAACTAGTAAAACCTAAAGTTTCACATTGTATATTTCAGAAAAGAAGCAGAAGGACAAAAGCACTTTGTGTTTGTAAATTGTATAAAACTACGTGAAGAAATGATAAGTAATTGTAACAATTCCTCAAAGGACCTTTATTTCACACATTCTCCCCACCTCATTACCGCTGTTATTTGCCATTGTTCCTTCCTAGTGCTATTCTATCATCATATTTGCCATTAAAACAGAAGATTGCCTTAATACGGGTGGGATGGCGTTCTGGACACTACTGACACCACAACTCTTTACCTCTTTTATAAGAGTTTGCAGTTAGTACAGAACAGACATCAATCACTATTAAATCCCAAGCATCTTTCTCTCTCGGTCACATTATGCTTCCATTTGGTTTAATTCTTTGCTCACCGTTAAAGAACAACTTTGTGTGTAGATTTGTTGCTGGTCAATTACTCAAAGGACAGCGCACAAAAAAGAAATGTGACCAGCTTACCTGTGTACAAAAAGGTTAGACTCCTTGGTAAATAGATATTTATATTGATCGTTGCCTATGACTGCATTGTTTGCTTGATTTTTAAAAGTTAACTCCAGGAAAAAAAAAAAAAATATTCATTTTAGGGGCCAGACAGCTCATGGCTTATTTCTAAAGATTTCTGGAATTTCTGAGTAGCCCTGAGTCTGATCCTGGGAGGCAGGGCCGAAAATGCTTGGAACGCCCCTGCTGGGAGGCTAAGTGTTCCCAGGTACCAAGCGCTGCCCTTTGATGTTTTTAGGTCATTTACATAGCACACAGTCATGTGACATGAGGCTGCAGTAGTTTTGCAATAGATATGCAAATCACAATTTCTTTATAAAATCTATTTTGTATTCTTTTTTTTCCTATGCATCCGTTTTAGCTTTATCAGTGTCCCCACTGCTAGTTAGCATGAATTGAGTTTATCACAGAGGGAATCTACTGGCAGGAACAACAGGTAATAAAACTATGTTACGTGGGGCCTCAGAAAAACAAAATCTGATGTGTTAATTCATATATGCCATTTTTTATTTTTCCTAAAGCTATACTAAAAACTAAAGACCTCTGCAAGCAATGCATGCTACATGTATACTGTACATCTCAAAGCTTAAATTGCAATTCTGAATAAATAATACCCTTAATGTTGGAAAAAAATAGCCATTATGCAAGAAAAAAATCCCACTTTGAACAACTGAATTTTTTCCCCCAGAGACAGGGTTGGCTAGTTGGTACCCCTAAACATTAAAAGGGTTCTTCACAAAAGGGTGAAGAGTTTGAAGAAGGCAGGAGAAGGGAACAATCTAGGACAACATAGCTGAACTGGAAAGTGAGCTGAATTGGAGAATTTTTCCAAATTAGCTATGTTGTCCTAGATTGTTCACTTCTCCTGCCTTCTCCAAACTCTTTACCTTTTTGTGAATTACCCTGTAATTTTTTTTCGCCATCTGATCTAATTATAAACATTTCCTTGCTCCTTTTCTATTGAATCATCCCCAAAGTGTAGGTTATAGCTGACTTGAGGAATACAAAAAAAAAATGCAAATACAACAGAAAGTCATACATTATAAATAAGTTGCAGTCAAAAAAAAACAGAAACAGTGAATAGAATGAGTCCAATGCTTTACATCTGCCCAATTATATGATTTAAAAATAGCAAAATAAGTATTTCTTTAATTCTGTATGCATAAAAGGAAGTTTAGTTTCATTTTAAGTCTTATATATGATACATTGTATTTGAAACGTATGTCAACATTTCCAAAGCTTCAGTGCGTCAAATGCCACTTACTGTTGACAATGGCTGTAGGCAAGATAGAAGCCATAGCTGCTTGTTGAGGAAGGAGCTGTATGGTGTCCAACAAGCGCGCTGGATACATCCCCTCCGCAAGAGTCATTTGAGTGGCAGCTTGTAGCCTTGAGTCAAAATCCACAACAAAGGCAATTAACTCCTCACCCTCAGCGATAGACTTGGTGGTTGTACACCACAGTTGTCCCCCTGTAAGCACAAATGAAGGAGTGTACTGTTAATAGCAAAATAAGTCTCAAAATGTCAAACAGGAGCGAGGCACCATATTGCTAAAAATCTTCAGGTTGAACACATTTCAGAATGACTGTTTCACCCAGGAGACGAGAAACTAAAGCTGTTAAGAGCTTTCAGAAATGTTCGGATGATGAAAGTGTATGAGGCAACAAGAGGTATGCTGCTTATGGCACTCCATTTGGTAACTCACTGTATCTCTCAAAATGTAAGTGCACACAAGAACTTAAAGTAGAATTCAACTCTAAACCTTTTATTTTTCAAAAATGAACCAGATCTAATAAATATGCATTGCCTGGCAAAGTATTTCAGAAAAGTTTTGCCCAAGTATTGCTTGCTCAGCTGAGACTGTCCTCCTTCTGGAGGGGGGCTACTTGTGTTCCCCATGGTCCCTGTGTGTGTTGTAAAGTAGCCACTGCTCCAAGCTCACTTCCATGATGGACTACAATCGCAATACAAATTAGTCAACTAAACATGAGATTGTAGTACATCACAGGAGTGAACTTGGAGTGGTGGTTGCACTACAACACACCTCAGGGACCATGGGGAACAAAAGTAGCCACCCTCCAGAAGGAAGGACAGTGTCAGCATGAACTTGGCGATCATGTGAGGACCTACAGCTGAGTGACACACAAATAAGCTTCATTTTTGTTGCTATTTAGGATACTTGAATGCATTATTTAAGATTTAACTCCTAAAGTTAGTGTCACTTTATTTCAGTAGCTCCATGGCTGACCAGTGTAAAAATGTGTTAATCACAGAACTAGCTGTAGAGAATTTCAATTCCGTTGGTAGGTAAAATAGTAAACATATATGCATTATATATGTGAACTTAGCTGCTTGCCCTCAGTTCCACTTTAGGGGCCTATTATTATAGGAGATTCATGCCCACTGTGATCTCCCTCCACCTTTTGGGAGTGCTCATAATCACCTGCAGAGATTTTACAACCATTTGGAGAACCCTGGGAGTATTTTTCATCCCTTCTTTCTCTACGCAGAACAGGGTTGGATCAAAGGGGTGTGCCACCATTGGCCCAATAAAGTGGTGCGGTCAATGGTTGCCCAGTCTGATCTAGGATGAGCGCGTATCTCCCTACTTGCTCTCAGGGCGACATTCATCCGCCTGCGGGCAGTCTTTTGTAGCCAACTCTATTATATTTTTGTTTTTGTGCATCGTAAACAAACCGTTTATCAGCAATTTGCACTGGAGGATCATCTCACTTATATAACTTAATTATGGTGATCACAGCCCATGCATAAACAGACCTGAAGTCTTCTGCATTCTAATGATGTTTTATTCATGTCCCTAAACACCGATCCATTTACAGATTAATATTCCAATTTATTTTCAAAGAAAATGCAATGTTTAAAAGTGGAAACAACTTTAAGAGCTAAAACTCCAAATTATGCTGTTTTTTTTTTTTATCTCATTCCTTAACTGCGAATGATGGCATCCTCATGGGACTGTGCATTAAAAAAAAAAAAACTAGATTATGTCTGATGTATTAATGAGTTGAAGGGAAGAACTAATTTGTTTAACTTGTTTAGACACAAAAAACAAATCACTTAAATGGTGTTATCTTTAACTCCAGACCTAGGTATAAATTCATATCAGTTTTGGCTGGGATCACATCCCTTACTGCCGAGTTTACATTTCTTGGTGGATGGGGTGTATGGATGCCGTATTCGCTGTACAAGTGAAAAGTGTATCCATTTTGATAAGTAATATTGCAGTGTTTATCATAACAGATAAATGCCTTTTCAACTTCACTTCATTTTTCTCCACAAAGAGATTACAGTTTTAAAACAACTTATTACAGGAATCTGCTTGCTGAGATAAGAATAGATGATAGTCTATAGCTAAATTGCCACAAAAAATATATATAAATATATGGACATTGTTAGCTGGAATTACCAAACAATTAATTCAGCGTATCTGATTGGTTTCTCAGATGAGTGAGGCAATTTGATGCAAAAACAGCATCTAAAAAAATAAATAAATAATAATGCTAGGGTTTCTGCCGCATTCTGAAGCAAGCAATGAATTTGGATGTATTAACCTCCAACTTAAAGTGGAACCACAGGTAGATATATATATATAAACAAAATGCCAATTAGCCCAATTACATGTATTTGCTATTTGAAATGCATACAACCAGTATATGTATCCAAATACAATGAACTGAGGTAACAAGCATCACCAGTAACCCCCCTCCCCCCACCCATTGTGTAGTGGCACTCCATTACGCAGACATCCTACCCACTGGAGACAGAAACAATAGCTCATATATGTCCTGCCAAACTGTTTTTAGGAATGGTCAGTGCAGCAGCCAGTTGGGTTAGACTTCAGATAAAAGTGAACTATGTATGATATGTACTCTTCTCTCTGAACAACCATTCAATGTCCTACACTAAGGCAATTTTATGATCTACTGGCCCGCTCTTTATCTGACTTAGGCCCCTTTCACATAGGAGGTCCGATCAAGTCTGCCTGTCAGCTTTTCCGGAGGATCTGATCAGAAGCCCAGTGTTAGTCTATGGGCGGCCACATCTAAATGGATGTGAGTCAGGTTAACAAGATTACACCCGACTCCATCTATGGAGTATGGAAACAAAAAGGGAAAAGAGTTCCGTTTTGGCGGACCTGATCATGACGGATCAGAGGTAGTCTAATATAAACAGATACATGTTCGCTTACATTCGACTCCCTATAGACCCAGCATGAGTCCATACAACTCAGTTTTTCCTTCCATTACAAGAAGTGTAGAACTCTATAAAATATTGTACTATTTAATAACTCAAAGGGGTTGATTTACTAACCTTATAAACATGCCACGAACAAGTATACACCTCTGTAGTGTGTTCCCTCCCAGAATGATCTATTGGTGGAATCTAGACACCTTTGTAGTGTGTACACACCCAGCAGGTGTGTTGTGCAAAGCCCTGCATGAATTGCAAGGTGATGTTGTGTAAATTAGTAGGTGTGTTGTGCAAAGCCCTGCAAAGCCCTGCATGAATTGCAAGGTGATGTTGTGTAAATTAGCTCTACGTTGTGTTGCTTGCGTTGATCAATGCAGGAATGTAAATGCATGAGCTAACCATTTTTGTCTAAACTGTGAAGCAGAATTATATATGCATCATGTGCATGATTTTTCCATATATGGCATTAGTGGAAATATGCTTTTAGAGACTTGCATGCCGCTATTAGAGCGGCGTGTAGCCTATGGCGCATGCTACATGACGCGCACGTACGTAAATACATAAAAACGCGCCATAACGGCGTGAAAATGTGACACGTTGCTCGTGTTTGGTTGATAAATACGTTTTGCTGTGTAAAAATGCACACGCACCCGGTGCGTGTGTGTATTTAGGTTAGTAAATCACCCCCAAAGTGTTCTAGAATACTAAACCCTTTTCCCACATCTAAATTATTGCTTTAAAAAAAATTAGTATACGTAAAGTAATTGTGGAAAAAAAGGACTTGTGAATCTAACAAATCATATTTTGCACATTAAATCTCCATGGCCCGTGTAACTGGGGGGCTGTGCTCTCATCTCAGAATGTTGGGATGTATGAAAATAATGGCATAAGGTTCAATTAGCAAAGCTTTAAAACAAGGCTATAGATCTTCACTTTAGCCATACGACTGAAATTTTGAAATCTCATTGGACTAAGCTGAAAATCACTGTCACTTATACAAAAAAAAATACAGATCCTTATCCTGCTGTGTTAGATTTTTGAACTGATCCTATTTTATGAATGTGCTGAGAAGTGTAAACAGTAGCAGGACAAGGGATGAATATCAAAGGTTACCTATTAAGGGCTCATTCACACCAGCAGCCACACTTTACGGTGACATGAAACTCAGAAGTTAAATCTTAAAAATACATTCAAGTACCTTAACTATTAATAAAAATGTATCTTATTTGTGTATCACTCGGCTGTAGATACTCAAATCATCTCTGAATTCATTCATCTGTGACACTGTCCTTCCTTCTGGAGGGGGGCTACGTTTGTTTCCCATGGTCCCTGTGTGTGTTGTAAAGTAGTCACCGCTTCAAGCTTGCTCCTGTGATGGACTACAATCTCATGTTTTGTTTACTAATTTAATTTGTATTGATATTGTAGTTCATCACAGGAGCAAGCTTGGAGCGATGGCTACTTTACAGCACACACAGGGACCACGGGGGAACAAAAGTAGCCACCCTTCAGAAGGAAGGACAGTGTCAGCACCAATTCAGAGATGATTGGAGGATCTACAGCTGAGTGATACACAAATAAAATAAATTTTTGTTAATATTCAAGGTGCTTGAATGTATTTTTAAGATTTAAGGTTCACATATCATTCACACGCAGGTGTGTATTCGGCACAGGCACTGCAATGTCAATGTCACAAACATGGCTGTGCTTGTCTTTTCCTTTGTTAACTTGACACTTAATTTAACACTATATGTGGCATGGCATTGCAATATTATATAGCCTGTTGGAAGAAGCTGCCCAAACATCATGTTCTACATTTTTTCAGTGCACACCAACGCAAGACAAATTGCTTTGTCTATGCATTGGGAATGCGCTAGCCAATGCTACTAAATTAATCCCTGCATGGCTAGTGTAAACAAGTCCTAATAGTCACATTGAGCTGGACCTGTTCTGTAATATTGAAGATGTTTTACTACTTATCCATGTAGCTTTCGCCCATAGGACATTTCCTATCAAATTGGCAGTATCCCATAATTTCAGATTTAATAATTTACATTTCTTTTTTTTTTCAGAACTTTGGAAAATGAAGTTCTTGGGTTTCTGAAATCTTTGGCTTGGTATTTCCCTGTCCTGTTAATAATCATGATCCTTAACCAAACAGATCTGCTTTCCTACAGGAAGTGTCTGAGCGTTGCTCATAATTACTGTCAAAGCCATACTGAAGTATCCTGTGAGTTGTGATAACAAAGCATGAAATC